AGGGAAAGATCTGTCTGGTTTTCTGGTAAAGTCAGAATCAAAACTTGATTACAGATTTTGGTGGGGTGGTGATGGGGATCGATCTATAGTATTGTTGAGGTGGCAGCCGGCTGGAGTGGGAAGGTCGGCGCAAAAATGCCTTTGGAAATTAAACATTGTAATGAAATGATTCCTTTGAAGGCAGCTTTCCAGGTGTGCTGTAAACCATGCTAGGCTATAATTGAAATATAAAAGAATGCTTCAAAAGCTGTGATCTATTTTTTAGCGACTGTTGCGCTAATCCTGAAATCCTAGCATGAATTAATGTAAAGACAGGATTGGATGCATAAAAGTACCTGTTTTAATCATTTAGCATGTTGTTCAAAACTAACCTGGTTGAGGCTTCAAGTCTAAGGGTGAAAATCTCACTCTCATCTTTCAAATCCCCCCATCATCTGCCAAGAACAGCCACCAGGGGCTCCTGTGGGAGCTGTGAAGAGGGGCTACTTCCGCTCTCCCTGCTTAATGCCGGGGAGAGATTCCCTGCAGTTCATGTATGATGAAATGGTCGAGGCCGATGTTTTTTAAAAGTACTTTATTAAAGCTTAAACAGTGAATCAATTTTCTGTTCCAATCCGGTACCGTATGAAAATATCTACACTGCTGAAGCTTAACGTTGGCAGAAGGTTTCATCTTTGGAGTTGAACAGTAAGTTACTTTGTAGCAGGTGAGAGAGCTATGTTTGCCTCTGCTCCTGCACTTCACTAGCACAGGGAAGTCAGCCTTGCGATCTTAGAATAAGTCCACACTGTCCCCACTCTGCATCACCCCCGCTTACCTAGCATAGGTGCATCAGTACCCACATGTACAAACAGCAGCAATGGGTAGGAATACTGCATCTGGAGACTCAGGGTAGATTACAGTGCTGGGTACCTGTGGTTTCTTTTCATGTGTCCCAAAGTTCAAAAGTAAAAGCAGGATCCTTGTGTAGGGGCTGAGGCACCAAAGGGGAGGGAAGGTGCTGGAGTCTTATGTCCTGTGTGGTCTCAGGATGCCCCTTGTAAGTGTGAACTGATGCTGTTTTATCCTTTTATCTAGACGCACTACTTTGGCCTTTGGTTTCTCAGCAAGAGCCAGCAAGCACGATGGGTGGAGCTGGAGAAACCTCTGAAGAAACATCTGGACAAATTTGCGAATGAACCTCTGCTTTTCTTTGGAGTCATGTTTTATGTGCCAAATGTGTCGTGGCTTCAGCAAGAGGCCACAAGGTAGGTACATTTTTTCCTCCGTGTTCCATGTAGGATGTGGATTAACTGTGAGGCTTCAGATGAAGTAGATGAGCTGGTTGGTTTCGGGGTGTGTTTGTGTGTGTGTGTGTGTGTGTGTGTGTGTGTGTGTGTGTGGTGGGGAAGAGGGTAGCATAGTTGGGAAATGTTGACCAGTTGCTTTGCAGCTTTAGAATTTTTGTTTGAATCCATGTAGCTAACCCCAGCGGTTGCCTGTACTGCTAGTGAGGTAGCAGTGATCCTGAAGCACGTAGAATTTTGTGTCTAGCAGCATAGACTGGGTAAAATCAGTATGCTAGGATTTCATGAAAAATTAACCACCTAAAACCGTTTGGTCCAGTCCTTCCCTCAAAATGTCCCCAAACAAAATGCATCATCAGACTCTGGATTTGAGGATTGAGAAGGTAACTGAAGATGGGAGTAGAGTTGAGGAAAGCACTGAGAAGGCATGAGTTTTGGTTTCGTGGGTTGAATATGAGGAGGCAGGAAGGCAACAGCAGAGCGATCTGGGGATTAGCCCCGCCCTCCTGCTCATTGGCTGCTTTACCTGGGAGAGAAACCACGTGCCATCTTTGAAGTGCTATTTTTCCCTCATCTGTAAAGTGAGGGATTTGAATGAGTCCCAAACGTTCTGATAGTCTGCGATTCTGTGAATGAAACGAGTGCGTTTTTGTTGGTGTTCGTTAAAATATGCAGGTGGGGGGGGTGTCTCCTTATCATTCTGTTATTTCCGGTACTGAAGGGAATCACATAAACCCTCTACTTTAAGCCTTTTACTTGGATCATGGCATTCAGAGTGCTTGGGAAGCAATGTCAGTGGCATCCCAGGTAGAAGGAATAGTATTCTACCTGATTATTGCATGTGTCATTTCTTAGATTTTAAATTTCTGAAATAAGGATGCAGCTGAAATTTTTATTTACATTTTAAGGTGATAGTGTCCATCTTCTTCTTTTTTTTAACCCAAATCATTGTTAAATAGGTGGTGTTTCTATAAACACAGGCCATGAGAGAGCCGATAGTCGGACCCAGGAAACCTATGTCAGTCTTTCAGGTGTCATTCATTTGAAGCACTTGATTGTGTACCATCGTGCACTGTTTTCAAGTGATTTCATTTATTTAAGTCCTTTCTGTCCAAGAAATTATCTCCTCAAATCTCCTCGAGTCAAATCAAAGCAAGATGATTTCCTCCAGCTTTTGAATCCTTGAGTACTTTACACAGTGTTAGGAACACAGAATTAGGGTAATAAGAAATACTTGTTGGTTCATGGCTCTTGGACCATTAAATGCAAGAGAATGAGTGCCAAGGATGAAACATGGACTATAAATTAATGCATATTGGGAAAAGTACAGCCCGTAAGAAAAAAAAAAATGAAGTGGTGTTCCTCTGGACAGATTTATTCTGTAAGGTCTGTTTAGGAAGAGCAGTTGAAATGGTGAGGGACTCAGAAATTGTGCTTTATGAAGTTAAAGAAAAAAAAAGCTAGTTTAAGCTTAGAAAAATGAAGACTTGCAAGGGTACAGTAGCTGCCTTTGGACTCTCATGGGGAGGGAATTCTGTGTCAGCTCCAGAGCACAAAATTAGGGCCGGTAATAATGAAGTTCAAGGAGTTGAAAGACTTTGGTTGTCTGGCTCGACATAAGAACAGACTTTCTAATAATAAAGCCATGTAAAAGTGGAGTAAGCAGACTTATAAAAGGGCAAGAGCCCCAGTCTCTGCAAATGCTGTAGCACAGAGTGATAGCCCATGTAGTGTCTTGTAGATGAGACCGCCATATTGGGAAGAATGTTGGAATCATCAGTGGTTCTCAAACAGACCAGGGCCTGCTAGATCATAATTACCCGAAGCATTTATTATGAATATGGATTCTAGGGCCGCACCAGAAGTCTGAACTGAAATGTCTCAGACTGGGGTTCACGAGGATGTGTTGTTTAAAATAAACAATATTCCTCAGGTAGCTCTGATGTTCATTCAGACTTGGGAATCAATAAGTTAGTTAACCTCTAAAGCTCTTTACAGTTTTAGATTTTCCAGATAAGTAAACTTAATGCTGCATTATTTGATTGTCAATATTTGCATTTATAAGCTGAAACAAAAAGTGTTTAAATCTCAGAAACTGAGGTATAGAGTAGGAACTTTTGAATTTCTTTTTGCTCAGTTAGGTTGGTTCATTTAAGAAGTTTGATAAGGAAGGAAAGAAGGGTTTTTCAACACAGGATTTTGAAGCAAACTCTGTTACTGTTGTTTGATCAGAAAAACTAACAGAAAATGATTCAAAACTTTGAAGGACATTTTTTAGACTTAAACATTGGAACTAACCTATGTAGATTTCAGGTATAACCTTCTCTTTATGGGAAAGGATGTTTAAAATTAGGAGCCGGTTTGCATGAGGAGTTTTTTTTGGTCCTCCCCCTCCCCCCCCAGCATTGCAGGAATTTTTGTTGTCCCAAGGGGCCCTAAAACTGGAATGTGCCGGAAGTGGGGGTGGGGTGGGGGGGTGGGGGTCAGAGCAAGGGAGGTGGAGAAATAATAGAGAAAAGTGTTGTAAATAAAGAAAGGAACATTGATAGAGGGAGAATGAAAAGAAAAAAGGAGGGAATTCCCTGGTGGTCCAGGGGTTAGGACTCAGCCCTCTCACTGCGGGGGACCGGGTTCAATCCCTGGTTGGGGAACTAAAATTCTATAAGCCACATGGCATGGCCGGGAAAAAAAAGAAAGAAAAAAGGAATATATATACTTGGGAAGGTTGAGGGACACCAACAATGACCCAGGTGTGATCCACTGACACTCACCCTGGGTTTTAGGCATATAGACTACAGGGTAAAGGAGACTGGTTTGAACAGAATAACAGTTTTAAGTGCTCAAGATTTCTGGGTTTGATATTAGAGATGAATAGAAGAGCTGAATTCAAGGTGAAGAGTGCTACCAATCGTCATTAGGAGCCCTTGGGAATCTGAGTCTTCCTGGGAGGTTTTAGAAGCATCTGGGGTCTCAACTGAGTATTGAAACTGTCCTCCAGGCAGAGCAGCCAAGGAGAAGCAGTGGTGGGTGTGGGATTCCAGAGGAATGTTTGACAGAAGGCCCCGGCAGCGTTCATGAGGAGCTGGTTAGTGGCTCACTCCTCAGTCAGCCCCTGTTACCTGAGTTACCAGGCATCTCAGGTGGAGGTGGGCTTTGTCTTCTCTGAGAGCACCTGGGATCCGCAGCATCTGACACAGAACAGTTAGTCTTTGTGATGCCCCGCAGAGTAAGATGTTTGCATAGATTAGCAATAGAAATCTGTCTTTCATTGTGGGCAACCCTTTGGAGGAGGCAACCATTCAACCATCTGTGCTTAAAAAATAAGCCTTTGTCTGGAGCCAACCACAGTTGTTTTCACCCAACACATGTTTGCAAGGGTTTGGCTACTTCTCTTTGAGAGTAAAACAGGTTCTATAGCATTAGTCGGGACCAGCCATTTCTTTTCTGATAAAGGACAAAGAGCTTGGAATTAATACTCTGTGTGTGTGTGTGTGTGTGTGTGTGTGTGTGTGTGTGTGCGCGCGCGCGCGCGCATGCGTGTGTGTAAACCCATATAAAGACACACAGGGGTGAAAGAAAGATATATTTAAAAGATGTATGTTTCATTTCTCATCTTCAGACAGTCCTACCCTTGAAAACTTGCAGGTTAACACAGTATTTGGAACAATACAACAAAAATTGGAGAACGAGGTTGATTGCAAACTGTTTAAGAAGGTGATTGACTTAAGATTATCAAGTCCAGGTTTTTTAAGTTAGAAAATCGAGAATCTTTGTTTTTTTGACATTAATTTTGATATGCTTTGTCTCATCTCGTTTCCAGGACATGCTTTTTGCAGAACAAATCTCTTCGTAAGTGAGGGAAAAAGGCCAAGATACTATGGGGAGTAGGGGACAACATGGACAGTTCAGGACCTACGTTTAGGTGGTAACTGAATAGGAGACCAAAGATATCAAAAGGAGAATACACACAGAAGTACACATAAAAGGGGAAACAAAACAAAACAAAACAAAACTCCTGATAGTCTTACAGAAGTGTGAAAAAGCTGGTGAAAAGGACACACTGATAGACAGGTGGAGGATGAGTCATGAAACCATAGGAATTAAAGAGATTAGGAAGAGAGTTTGTTAGCCCTGTTCCAAACTGTAAAATACATTACCTTGGGGCTTTAAAAATGTTAGTTTTCCTCCTTTGGTTAAAATGACTCAAGGGATGGGACCACCATAGTTTTTTCCGTTTTTTCTCATCTCCCTTTTTGCCAGCTTGTCTGCTCAGCAAAGGGACTCTGGCTAGGAGTTCATCTTCCCCCATCCTGTCCTCCTCCTGACTCAAAGGAAAGATTTTTGTAATGTGTTTTAATGATGTGCATAGCAACAGGCTCATTATAAACACATGGTTTTCAGATTTTTTTCTGGACACAGAAAGAAAAAAGATGGTTTGTGAGAGGTGGAGAAATTCTTAGTCAAACAGAAGGATCCTTAATAATAGCCAGGGGAAACCAGAAATCTGTTGGCGGAGATCACTGCTTTCCGTTTAGGTCTGGGGTTTTTCCAAGTCTTCCTCCAGTGAGGAAGTCCCTCTTTAGTTTTTTCAATACTAAAGAGAACACTTTTAAGAGAAAAAGTAATTTTTGAAGAGTGAATTGGCTTCAAGGTTGAAGTTGCTGACTGCATACATGGTTTCTAAAATTTTCACTTCTGGGACATTTTTCTGTTATCAGAACATGTTTGTCTTTGCATTATCCCTGTTGAATGGTCTGTTTGCATAGTGCTAAGGGGCTTTTAATTGTCCTAATGAGGGCAGATAACCTTTCCTACTTTCCCAGAACACATTTGTAGCCTGCTGTTGAGGTGCGGCCATCCGCCTTCCTAGAGGTAAGCATCGTTTTGATGCAAAGCAGTGGAACCACTGCTGTGGCCAGCACAGTTGCTCTACCGGCCGAGGACAGTTTTGACACATTGTG